CCTAGACCTGATTCGACTGGGATGTTTTTAAGATTGTCTTAGTACAAATATTAAGAAGCGGGGCTGGGTTTTATTAAGAGATGCTAATTCAGAATGAACCCGCCAATGGTGAATGAATGAAAGAACCCCCAAGGTTTTATTCATAGACATCCATTAGCTTTTCCCTTTATACACATGCACGGAGCTCACGCTACAACTGGCTGGGCAGCCCTTTCTTCCTGAGAGCTCACAAAGAGAGCCATCTGCCCAGTTCCAGGTGGAAGCATCTCACGCCTGTCTTCCTGGAGTGTAAATCAATGAGGCTTCCCTGAGCCTCTCCTTCTTGTGGGGTTTCCATGGGAATCCTCCCACGCGTGACTGCGCCAGGAGCCCCCAAGGCAGAAGCTCAGGCTGTCAGCCAGTGAGGAGAGCAGGGGATGGGATGAGCGAGGTTTGCTGGGCGGTGACCAGGCCAGCATGCTCTGCAAGGTCATTTGAAAGAGACACGCCTCTGAAGGAGCAAAGCCAGAGGCCCTATGTGCACGTGCAGCCCTGGCAGCCCTGGTCACCGTGGCCGCTGGCCCAGGCACAGGTGGGGCGTTCTGCAGGATGGCTGGCCTCTGTGAGGCCCAGCAGGGCTTGGGCAGGAGCAGAGCAGGAAGAGAGGGGATGGGGAGGATGCTACACAATGGGAGTCTCTTGGGAAAACTTCTATGAAGAAAACACAATAATCTTCATGTCCAGCCCCTCATTTATCTCCCAGGCTGAACTTTGCCCACTTAGTATAAGTGATTGTCTCAAAACTCAGGACACCTAAAGAAAAGCAAAACTATTCATGCCTCAGGCTTGATCTAGATCATATGAGGGAACTGCTGGGGTTTCTGAAGGTCCCTCTCTCAAGCCTGAGGTGTCTCTGGGAGCAGTCTTGAGATACCAGGGGAGAAACTAGAGAGGAAGAGGGGAAGAGGGGATGGTGAGGAAGCAGGGAGACAGGGAGACCTAGAGAGAGAGGAGAGAAGGACCGCCAGAGGTGAGGGAGTCACTCGGCCCCAGGAATCTGAGGGACTTGCCTATCTCATAGTACGTGGGTGACAGCTGAGATGTCCCTGTGGCCTGGCTAACTGGACCAAGCCCCACTCCTTTCTGGAGAAGGCAGAGCTCCAGGTTCACCATAAATGACATTTCACAGCACTAAAAGCCAGCGGGTGGCTTGAGCAGCTCTGGGCCTCTCCCTCTGGGCACAACAGCACACGGAGGCATAGAGCTGACAGCAACTTCCTGCCACCTCCTGGCTCCAGGCTCCACCCTGCCTGCCCCATAAATGGGGCACCCTCTAGGTCACATCTTCAGTGTCTGCTCCTCTCTCTCTCCTTGCATCTTCTCTTAGAACTGACATTTCCAGCTCTCTGCACATTCTCCCAAACTGGGTCTCCAGCCCCGCCTTCTCTCCTCAGCACCAGACCCACCTACCTGGAGGCCTCTGACCACCCCAAACTAGGAATTCCTTCAAACGACCTTGTAAAGCCAGCTGGCCTCATTCTACCATAAGCCTTCCCCCGTGGGCATGCCCACCCTCTCGAGAGGTCAGACATCTGGGGGTGCACAGGCACCTCAGAACCCACATGTCCAGAGCTGAACTCTGCCGTGGATCCCCATCTCTCCATCTCCCTCACTCAACGCCTTCAGCTCTCCCTTAGCTCAGACCTTGCCTGGATTCCGCAGTGGTCTCCCTGACTCCAGTCTGTGCCCCACAACCCACCCTCCACGCTGCCAAGGGGTAAATCTGACCAAGCCACCCACACACCTTCTCGTTTAACTCTCCAGGGAGAAGCTGCAGCCCTTAGCTTGGCACACCAGTTCTCCAGACCTGCTCTTACTTATCTCTCCCCCGCCCAGTCTCCTAGCACGGCCCACCAGTCATGCTAGACTCCCCCAGGTGCCACATCCCCTCCATACCTTGGAGTCCTGGGAGCCTTTCCACCTTCCTGTACCTGGCTGGTACTCTCTCACTCTCCCCCACCCCTAAGCGGGCCAGGCAGCTCTGTAGCAGCCTTCCATCCCCCTGCGTCCTTGTCCTTGCGTCTTCTGTACCACATGCTGCATTTCCTGCTGGTGAGGCCAGTGCCCAAGCAGCCTCTGTCTCCCACCAGCACCCACCCGGCACCTGCCACCTCTGGCTGCACTCTAAAGCATTTGTCAGATTGAAGAAGGAATATCCGCTCCCCATCTCTTGTATAGTTTGCATTTCTAACAACAAACATTTTTTTCATAATTAAAGTGTCCATTTTAAGTGGGGATTAAGTTCTAAACTCAATATGTGAAGCAAAAACCACATGCAATCAACACTGCCCAGGAGAGCCCTTCTGAAGGTCCCAGGTTCGTGATAGCCGATTTGGGTTTGCCGCCCTCTTCCCCAGAGGGCTCAGCACAGACACAGTTTTCGCTACAGCCTCAGAACAGATCCCTATTTCTTGAGCTGAGTGGCAGCAGAGAAACCAGCTGACTTATTTAGGGACCATGTTGTATTAATAATGTGTTGCTGTTTTATTTATTTTTTACTGTTGATCTTTTATATCAAGTATGTATGGCTCACATAAGTTAAGGGCACACATTTATGTACTTATTTTTAAAGATGACTATGAGGCAGAGACTTCTTTCTAGCAACTTCACTCCAGGTCTCCCCTCCCCTGATTTTCCACATTGAGTGGCCTGTTCTAGGTGAGAGCTGCCCGAGACGCCTGTCGTTCCTGTACCAACAGAGAAGCGACATTTCAAGGCCTGGCTATGTGACAACAGGCCAGGCAACTTGGGGAAAATGAAGCAGCCCCTGTGTCGTGAGTTGTACTGGGTCTTTTCCCGAAGGGATGAGGAAGCACTCTGGCCCGGGCCTCGGCCACTTCCTGGGGTAGGAATGAAGCCCCCCAAGGACTGGCCTGCCTAAATGAGCAGAAGGAGCCGGTCTTAAGAAACCCCAAGGGAAAAGTAGCCTACGCAGGGGGAACAGCAAATAAAAAAGTCCCTGGTGTGTTGGAGCAAACCCAAAAAGTCCAGGGGGTGAGGGTAATGAGAGAGGAAAATGGTCAGAAAGGAGGGGAGGGGGCAGTCCCCGGACCGGAGGGCCTGGGGGCATCGAGGCTTTTCTGAGGAGCTTCTAAGGTAGGGAGGGTCTTGATCTAGTTACATTTTAAAAAGATGTTTCTGAAACACGGTCATTACTATTTGCTAATCTGATACTTGAAAAATTGCATCTTATTGTAGTTTTAATTTGCATTTTTCTTATTGAATGAGGTAGAGCATCTTGCCACATGTTTAGGTATTATTTTCATTTCATTTCATGAGTGTGAACTGTTTATGGTCTTTGCCCATTTTTGGTCCTTTGCTTGTTGACTTGAGGAACATTTTACACATTAAAGAGGTGAGCCCTTTGTGACAGGAGTGGCAATTCTCTCCCCAGTTTGTCGTATGTCTTTTGACTGTTTATGGTGACTTCTTTTCCCTGCAGATTTTTTAACATATAATTGAATTTATCAGTCTTTCAAATAAACTAGTTTGGTTGGAAGACAGAGGCGCAAGGTGGGGATACAGAGACAAGAGGCTGGGAGAGTCTGGTGCACTGATGTCTTCCCCCAGGGCAGGGACAGCATGGAGGGCAGATCTGGATTCTCCCGTGAAAAGCGTTTCCCTGAGGCTCAGGCCTAACATTTCACATCCTCCTGATTTAGGCTCATCAGGTTGGGAGGGTGGGGGTTTAGGGAGAGATGGGTGGAAGGATGGGCCCCAGATTCCTAGAGAGGAGAGAACTCCTGCCTTCACCCCCAAGCTCCCCCAGGAGGAGGATGCGGCAGACGAGGAAACTGAGCGGGGAGAGATTAGAGTACTTGCTCAAGGTCACACTGGGGCTGGTGGTGGAGACGGAATTCGAACTCAAGCCTGGCTCCAGAGCCGAGAGCTCTCCACCACCTCGCCCCAGCGGTACAGAAGTGTCCTCCTCTCACTTCCAGTCCGCAATAGCCCGTCTTCGGCCACCCGGAGGTGGGAGCAGCCACTCCCCCTCTTCTCCTGCCAGGGAAAGGTCCTGGGCTCGGCGTCCCCTCCTGGCGCGGAGCCCGTGGCGCGTCCTGCGCTACCCCGGCTGGCGGACGCATTTGCCGCGCTCCAGGCTCTGGCCTCCTCCCTCCTACCCAGACCCCACCCCCTACCCCCGGCCCACGACTCGCGAAGCCCGCGACCCCCTCCCTTCAGGAGCATCGCCAAGTTTGTCTCCAAGCAAGGCCAGGAACTGGCCCTGAGCAGCGCGCGGGCCGGGCGACCAGCCTCACTACCCCAGCGTCAAGAGTAAACCGTAACGACAGCCACCACTTCACCAGCGCCTACTGCGTGCCAGGCGCTTGACTTCCACCGCTCGGAATCCCCCCACCCCCGATGAACAGATCCCCAGAATTTATTGTCCCCATTACATAGACGAGGGAGCCACTGCAGCACCGGAAAGTTGCATGACACGCTAGGGCTCACACAGCTAATATTAATGCTCGCTAACATTTGATTGCTTCCTATGTGCCAGACACAGGTCTATGTACGTTACAAGCACCACTCCACAGCTCCTACCAATACTCCTATAAAACGGGTATCATTATCATTCCCATCCTACGGATGAGGTAACCGAGGTTTGGCGCTTTGCCCAAGGTCACCCAGCCAGTTGAATGACGGCTCTTGGATCCAAGCCCCGGCAGGGTTACTCGGAGGGGCGGTTTCTTGTGCCGTCTCCATTACGCAGAGAAGCAGCGGGCTTCGAACCTACGGCATCAGAGGCTGGCCCCAAACGCCCAAAGCTGCGCGCAAACCAACCAGCTCGGACTGCCACAGCTGGCAGAGAGGAATTCCCGGAGACCCGGACGGGACTCACGCCGGGATCGCCGGCAGTGGGCGAGTGCCGGCCCGCACGAGGTCCGCGCGGCCAGATCTCGGCTACCGGCTCCTGTGCGCCCCAGGGCGCCCCTCACCAGAAGCTGGAGAATACTCACCATAAAAGAGAGGGCGAGTGCCTGCCCCGGAGGAATCGCCAGCGCGGGCAGGTCTTGGACTCCCGGGAGAGGCGTCTGCCACTGCCGCCCACTCAGGGGCGCCCGAGCGACCCCGAAAATGCCGGCTAGCTCCCCGAGGCCAGGAGCGCGTCCTCACGGCTGGTGCTCAGCTGCAGCTCCCCCTCTGCCTGGCAGGGTGGCCTGGAGTTGGAGCGTTCTTGGGGAAGTTGGCGCTCGAGCGCGGCGGGAGGGCCCGGGAGGTCGGATGGGAGTAGGGGGGCGCCTTCCTGCGCGGATCCCGGGGGCACGCCAAGGCCCGCGCTCTAGCCTTTCCGAAGCTCCGCGCCGAACGCGGAGGGCGGCGAGGACCCAGCTCAGAGCGCACGGGCCGCGCCTCGGCCGCTGGCCCCTAGCGCGCCCTGCGTCTTCCCCCGCGCCCTGGGCGCACGCAGCTGTGGCTCGAGCTGCGGCCGGGGCCCGGGCTGCGGTGTGCTCATCGCCCTCCCCAGGGGCTGGGCGCCTTTGTGCGCCGGGCGCGCCGGCCGCCGCGGCCAGCTCTGGATGCTGCAGCTGCCGCCGCCTCCCCCTCCTCCGCCGCCGCCGCCCGCTCCCCGCCTTCCCGGCCGGCCCGGAGGCTGCAGCTGAAAGCCGATCCGGCTGAGCTCATCCCTGAAGGCCACTAATCCAATAGCCGCGGAAGGCGCGGCCGCCGGGAACGCCCCTTCCCCCACCATCCCGCGCCCCGGCCCGTCCCAGCTCGGGCCGCTGCCGGCGCCGCCACCTTCCCGAGGCCACCAGCTGGCGGGAGAGGGAAATGGAGCCCGCGCCCGCGCCCCTGTGTGGAGTCGGCGCCGTCGCCATTCACCCGCCCGCTGGCCCGCGCACTCCCTCACTCACGCACTCATTCATGCGCGCGGGTCCTCCCCCATTCATTCAAGCGCGCCGGGAGCGCCAGGGTGGGTACCCCTGAGGGGGAGGAGACACCCACAGTCGCTCGGCAGCTTTGGTGTCTTTACCCAACGCACGTGGGAAATAGCAGCCGGGGAAAGAGGATGTTTAACGTTCTCTTCTTCAGACACGTGCGCACACTTTATTTTTTAAGATCAAGCTCCAACTCGTCTTTTCTTTTAAAGCGCAATTTCGTCCCGCCTCACAGGGCCTTCCCTGCCCACCTAGGGGGCAGGGAGGTGCGTTTCTCTGCTCTGCTGGCTGCCAGCGCTGATGGTGGGCTGCTTCATTGCGAAGAATGGGAGCTGGGAGAGAAGGAAGAGGGCGTGGCCAGGGCGGAGGCCGAGAGGCTGCTTCTAGCATGTGTGTTTCTTCGGGGAAATTGAAAGTTTCTAGTCTGGGTGCCCTCGTTTGTGCTCCCAGAGTTGACTTCTGTTCCATTCCACAATCATTTGGTCTGACCCCAGCCCCCTCTGTGCCAGGCACCAAAGAATCTAAATGCAGAGTGCCTGTTTCATCAGAGACACAGACGACAAAAGAGAGTTCCCCAGGGAAGGAAATCTTTAACCAAAACTCTGGGGCTTCTTTCCCAGACTGGGAAGGGCAATCTAGGAATGCTTCCTAGTGGAGGTGGCTACACGAATTAGCTCCTGGAGGCAGGTGGAAAGGATGGCCACCTGGCTAGGTACTTCCACAGCACAGAGCCTGTGGTTTGACTGGTGATAGAAAACAGTGCTAAGATGAAGCTGGAGGGACAGGCAGTGGCTAGGGTCTCTCCCTGAGGTCAGTTGGGGAAACCTTTAGCTAGGGTGGTGACTGTCAGATTTGCATTCTGGAAAGGTCTCTCAGCAGCAGAGTGGATGGATGGAGGAAAACAGCCTGGAAGCTACTGAAACAGTCCAAGCAAAAGATGAAGCTGCATGAACCAGGGCAGTTGTGGTCGGGTGGCAAAAAGCTGTCTTGATCAAGTATTTCTTGCACATATTCTACTGTTTTGTCATTGCCAGTTTACGTGTCTGTCTCCCTCCTAAGACTGTGAACCCCCTGGAGGATGAGATTCTGCGTTTTATACATCTCTGGATCCCCTGTACCCAGCACAGAACAGCTGTGGAGTAAGTGTGAGTTGAACTGACCCAAGTGGCAGTTCTGACTTACCTTCACACTCACTACGTTTCAGGGGGTCTCACAGCAGTCTGTCCTATTCCCTATCAGGAAGTGCCTGTAACACCCACTCAGCAAGCTACCGCAGGGGCTATGGACACAACTGAGGAGCAAGAAAGAAAAATTGAGGAAAGAAGATCAGAAGCAAAAGGGGAGTTTAAAGAAGACTTTCAAGCTGATGGTTTCTCCACCTGGACCCCAACCCAATCTAGCTGGTGGGGGCGGGGGCAGGGGTAGGGAGGCGTTGCCCACCCCCACCCCCACCCCCACACCTACCCCCACTCCCACTGCTTCCCCTTCTTGCTGGGAAACATTACAGCAGCTTCAAGGACAACTCCTCCCTCCCTTGGGGGCTGCAGGTAGGTTCACCACCTTGGCCTCTCCAGAGTAGACCATGCCTCAGACACAAAGAAGTGGCCATAACAGCACCCCATGTGTCCCTGTAGGGCCCCCCAAATACTCCAGTCCCTGGATATAAGAAGAAATAACTTGCCATTTTGGAAGACACCAGGATAGCCAAGCTATTAACTCTTCAGGTTGAAGTGAGCAGCCTCTACGGTGGCCCCAGTGACCCCTGGCTCTGGGTTTCCCCCCCTTGTAACCCCTCCCTTCAGGTGTGGGTTGACCTTATTGACTTCTCCTCACAAACAGAATACGGTAGAATTGACAGGATGTGCCCTCCAAGATTAGGTTATAAAAAGGCAGTGGCTTCTGTTTTGAGCATATGCTCTCTCTCTCTTGCTCTCTTTGGGGATCACCTCTCTGGGAGAAGCCAGCTTCCATGTCCCAAGGCAGCCTTGTGGAGAGGCTCATGTGGTGGGGCCCTAAGGCCTGCCAACAACCGTGTGAGTGAACTTGGAAGTGGATTCCTGCCCTGCCACCCCCGCCCCAGCCGAGCCTTCATATGAGACTGCAGCCCTGTCTGGCACCTTGACTGCAATTTCATTAGAGACCTTGAATCAGAGACAGTCAACTACGTTGTTCCCAGAAGCCTGAGCCACAGACACAGTAAGAGAATAGATGTGTGTTGTGTTAAGCTGCTAAACCTAGGGGTAATTAGTTGTGTAGCAATAGATAACTAAGATAAGATATTCTTAACTGTCCAAGGGTGATTTGAAAAATAAACTCTTGAAGAACTAGCCAGTCTCACCCCAGAGAAAGCACAATATTTCATGGGCATAGTCAGGCAGCCCTGGCCTTAAATTTCAGGTCAGACTCTTTGGGTCTTAGTTTCTCATTCTAAAATGAGGACAGAAGAATTTCCTGAGTTCGGTTATGCATTGTAGCATGTTACATAGTAGGTTCTCCATAACTGTTTTATTCTACTTCTCAGCAGCAGACCAAGATTCTTGGAATTCTTGGGCTAAGGCGAAGCCGTGCTTGGAGCAGAAGGTCTGTTTGGGTGCTGTTGCAGTCATGGGTCAGATCCACTATGTAAAATGCAAAGCTGTGAGCCCACCACCTGCTCCTCGCCTCTTCTCCCAACAGGGCTTGGTTTCAAATCTATTTCCTAGGTTTCAGCTATTGCAACCCTGGTCTCCTTCTCTGTCTTCCAAATGTATCAACGATGGTTTAACAGAAGTTGAGGAAAAATCCTCAGTTCTGAGAAATTCTGGAGCTTGAAGCTTGCTCGGAGGAGGTGCATGCCAGGCAGGAGAAGGGAGGTGCGTGAGATCTGCATGTCTTCTGCCCCCACTCAGAGGAAGCCCCAGCCTACAGTGGGGGGGTGCCCAGAAGGTGCTCATCTCTCGATCTTGTTCCCCGCTACAGCTCAGGCTCCACCACCTCTTTCCCCAACAGTTGAGGCAGCCTCCTCACCTCTGCGCCACTGCCAGAGCTGTCTTCATAAAGTAAAGATCACCCCTGCACTCTCTTCAGAGGCACCCCGCAGCCCACAGAGTGGTTTTCTCACTTCTTAGCTGCTTCTGGCTCCTGTGCACTAGTCCCCCCTCCCTGCATCTGTGCTCTGGGCCAGGCAACTCCTGTGAGCCAAGTTCTTTCTCCCTGATGCAGGCCTTTGCACACACTGACCTTTCTCCCCGGTACAGACTTTCGCTAGGTAACTCGGTCCACCTTTTGGCTTTCTGCCTGCGTGCATGTCATCTGCTCCAGGAGGCCTTCCTGACACCCTAGGCTCAGCATGATGCCTCTTGGGTCTGCCCTCAGGCCCATGCTTCCCTCTCTCAGGGCCCCAATCCCACTGTGGTTGTTGCCTCTCTTCTTGCCACCCTGCCCCCTCCAAGAGGCACTCAGTTCTAGAACAGAATTGTCTTTTTCATCTTCGTAGCTTTTGCACTCCCACCTTCATTGCATCTTACTAATTTCTCAAAGCACAAAGCTCCACAGTCTTCCCAAGTAGCCCCAGTGGGTTAGGGGCCCCTTCCCTGAGCCCTACAGCCCTTGTCATCTTACCTCTGTCAGAGCGCTCTGCAAACCCTCCGGGAATTGTCCGACTCCTGCAGCAGAGAGCCACTCTGCGAGGGCAGGACTGTGTCTGTTTCACCTGGTGCTCCTGGCACCCAGCCCAGGGCCAGGTACACAGTAGACATCCAATAAATGTTTGTGGAATAAATGATTGAAGGCAGGGCAGAGGGAAGGAAAGACAAAGGTTGGAAGGAAGAAAGACTGACTCCATTGGCCTCTATTTTTCTTTCTTTCTTTTAAAACACTGAATGTTGAGAATTGGATTAACCATCACCCTTGGTTCATGACATGCTGTCGTCATTAATCCACGCATGGCCCTTATTTATTTAAGTATTTATTCATGGTAAACACCGCGGAGCCCACACGCAACCCAAGGCCCCTATGTCTCCCAATGTGCTGCCTTCCTAGGCCATCTTTTTGCCTCCCTTTCACATAAAACCACTATCCTGATTGTTAAGGTTTATCGCTTCCTTGGATTTTCCCCCCAAATATATATATAAACACTTGAAAGAAGTTAGGCATATATATATGTCTAAACCTTATTTTATTTAGTTTTACTTGTTTTTTGAACTTTATTAAAAGACGTCATACTGTATATTGTTTTCTAGGACTTACAATCTGGACTCAAGAAGATTCATCCATGTTGATGCATCAACTGTAGCTCATTCGTTTTCACGGCTTATAATAGTTCATTGGGTGAACAGACACAATGTTAAAAAAATTATGCCTGACATTTGCTGAAGACGGTAAGGAAGACTGTTCAAGGGGCCCTACTACAGTGGGGTTTTGCAGTGGGGACAGAGATCAGGCTCAACTCTCAATGCAAGAAGAACAAGTGGAGATTCACAGCCAAGGAAAAGGTGGGTGCCAGTGGATGGAAAATTACTAAGAGCAAACACGAGGGGTAAGGAGGATTCTTGCTAGACCGACTCAACAGGGTTCTTGCTGCAGGCAGGCCAGAGTGAGGGACGAGGAATTTGATCAGATATCGGTGGGGGGTTGGGGGGTGGGCATGGGGTTCTCGGATACCAAAGGGTGGGGGATTTTTGCCAAACTAACTTAGCAGGATTTTTGCTCAAATTGGATTCTCCAAGAACAGAGAAGGAAGCCCAAAGTCAGGCCTAGTTGAGCAAAGTCTCCTGATTAAAGTTTAGTCAAAGGAAAGAATCTTTATCAGTAGTTTATTTTTCCATGCTCCCTCCAAGCGGGGTTTGGATTGATTCTGCTTTGGGGCTGTTACGAACACCCTGCTGTGAACGTTCTTGAACAAGCTCCCTCGAGCATCTGTGCTAATGTTTCTTGGGGCTACTCTTAGGAGTGGAATTGTTGAATCACTGTCTACATGGGTCAGCCCATCAAAATAAAGTGCTAAAAACTGTTTCAATCCTTCACATTGTATGTCATCAGGGAAATGCAAATTAGAACAACAGTGAGATATCACTACATACCTATTAGAATGGTCAAAATCCAGAACACAGATCACATCAAATGCAGGCAAGGATGGAGAGCAACGGGAACTCTCATTCATTGCTGGTGGGAATGCCAAATGGTACAGCCACTTTGGTAGTTTCTTACAAAACTAGACATACTCTTACCATACAATTCAGCAGTCATGCTCCTTAGTATTTACCCAAAGGAGTTGAAAACATGTCCACATAAAAACCTGCACATGGATGTTTATAGCAGCTTTATTAATAATTGCCAAAACTTGGAAGCAACCAAGACGTCCCTCAGTAGGTGAATGGATAAATAAACTCTGGTCCATCCATACAGTGGAATATTATTCAGCACTAAAAAGAAATGAGCTATCAAGCCATGAGAAGACATGGAAGAATCTCAAATGCATATTACTAAGTGAAAGAAATCAATCTGAGAAAGCTACATACTGTATGATTCCAACTACATGACATTCTGGAAAAGACAAAACTATGGAGACAAAAAAAAAGATGAGTGGTTTCCAGGGGCTAGTGGGGAGGGAAGGTTGAACAGACAGAGCACAGAGGATTTTTAGGGCACTGAAACTACCCTGTGTGATGCTATAATGGTGGATACAGGTCATTAGACATTTGTCAAAACCCATGGAAGGTACCACATCAAGAGTGAACCCTCAGGTAAGCTATGGACTTTGGGTGATGATGATGTTTCAATGTAGGTTCATCAGTTGTAACAAACACACCTCTCTGGTGGGGGATGTTGATAATGGGGGAAGCTGTGCATACGTTGGGGCAGGAGGTATATGGGAAATCTCCATACCTTTCTCTCAATTTTGCTGTGACTCTAAAACTTCTCTGAAAAAAAAAACAACTATATTACTTGGAACATCTGAGTCACTATGCAGACTAATAAACCTGAACTAGAGGGAGAGAAAAAAGCCTATTAAAGAAAAATCCCAAAACTCTTTTACTCCAACCACAAAACAGGAAGGGTCATATGTTCCAAAAGTAATTTGCATCATCCACAGGAGACAAAAATGATTGACCCAGAGATCCCCAACACCATTTCTTTGGAATT